CAGATCCCGCATTCCGATCACGACTATACCCGATGTACGAGGAATGTTATCCGGCCACTAATCGTAGAGCCATCGTTTTCCTTAAACGAGCTTATTTTTTTCTTTGTAGATGGTAACAATCTTCTTCGCAAGATTGTTCATTATCGGTAAAAGGGAAACAAAGTCTTTCTCTCTCGTTTCAATCACGCTAAATGGATTCCGTGGCCTACTTTCCCGGATTAATTCAGCCCATTTGATGGAGCATGCACAGCTTGCACGTTTCTTTTCATCTTTTCAATTAAACCCAAATTTCTATCGATACGCGTGCGCTGGAAGTAGAAATCTGTATCCAACAGCATCGGGGACCTTTTCTTTTTTTTCAGTAAGTATTCGTTTGCTTGCAAATGTCAAGGTCTTGTAATATACAACAAAACTCCATCTTTTTTAAAGAACAAAAATATTTTCAGTGATTCTTCGTGTGATACATTTTTTGTATGCACGAAATGTCGAACACGTATAAACGACCATAGTATAATGAGCAGAATTAATAAAAGAAGGGAACAATTTACAATCGATAAAATTCTTTCAAAAATTCAATTTCGGAGTTACTCGAAAGACGACTACGAATTAGATTGGATTCTAAAACGAAACGGAATGCAGCAGCTCGACAAATTATCGACACGATCGTAAAATTCGTGGGACCGAGTGTTTGCGTAACCTGTTTATACGAGCGTGACAAATTCCTTTGACAGCCATGACAGGGATGTCGAGCGCGTAAAACATTAAACCACAACTAATTTGCCCGATAACACCGTTTAATGTAAAAAAAAATATTCAGTTTTCGTTTTCAGCGGCGACTCGAATGCGTATAATTTGTATGATAATTCTGCGTTAATAACGATTAAGATATGATATACATAGTGGTCCGGAGCTGCCACGAAACCCGTGCCCCCCTTCGTACATTCCTCTCCTTCTTACTCGACTTTCGCGTTATCACGAATCCATTTTCGCCATCGAGATATCGACGCACGCATGTTCCTTTAACTTTTTCATACCGTAATCGCTTCTGACCAATTTCGGGTTTTAATATAAAATTTCCAAGGAAAATAATCTTGCGGCGAGCCGAGGGGACGTAAAAATTATCGCTACAGATACGAGAATGCAAATTTTAAACGCTGCTCGCGCGGAACCATGCTCGTATTAATTCATAAAATCCAATAATGATAGGTACGAAAAAGTTGAAAAAATTTTTTTATTAAATTTATTAGTACGCTTTAATTGCTTTTATTTGGGATTTAAAAATTCCATTAAAGAATAAATACAGTCGAATTTTTAAATAGTTTCTCTAATAAGAATTCTCGTTCCTAGCGATTAGATCGAATAAGAAATACAAACAGTCGCTTTCATTCGGTTTAGACGGAAACTTTTACATTGCTAATACGAACAGCTGCTGTGATTAGGTGCTTACGAGTCATTCGTACAACCGTTCGAAATAAAGGCGATCAAATTAGCCTTCGCGTATAATCAATGTGACTCGTCAAATTCTGAGCCCGTGACTACAAACATTTCTAACCTTTAACGCTTAATTTTCTCGTTTACCCATCGGGCATACAATTTGTTCCCCTTTCTTTTGGCTCACCGGGAACGATTCTTTTGTAAACTTAAGTTATCGTGATTTCAGGACCGAAGAACAAAAATATACTAAATATTCCAAATACACTTTAAAATATTCTTTTAAGATGGAACATAAGTTAAAGTGAGTCGTTAAAAAATCTACATCGTCGAGTTATTAAAGTATATATAAAGAAAATAAGTCGAAGTTGTGGACGTTCGAAGCAGGCGAGACACGAAGCATGAGAAAGGGCACAATAGTTGCATTCTTCTTAATGAAATATCATAGGTTACTTCCTCATACCGTATGTCACTCCTCCATTAGCGTAACAATTATAAATGCTTGCCCATGTGAACTTCGCGCGTTTCTTTTTCGCTATCGTTAGTTTCCATCTTTTAACGATCCGTTCGAGCCCACGTCGATTACGTAAATTGGCTTTTTAACAAACAAAACCAACGTTAATCACTGCATAATGACAGATAATCGCGGCGCAATTAAAGCGTTTCGAGCGAACACGTGGCATAAATTACGTACAACGTATTTGGTTAAGAATATCGCAATCGTTCACTTTCCAGCGATTTCGATCGGCGTGATCGATCTTTCGTCGAAAATGGGAAAAATCCTGTTCGAGTAATAGGCAATAAATAGAAACTATGAGCAATAATTCATTTGTGCGCGATGAATGCATTTTCATAGAATTACGAAGCTTTGGATCGAGTGTCAATGGTTTAATATTCAGAGGCAATTAAACGGATCTATTACAAAAAGGAATTTAATTAAGTACGAATGGAAATAAAAAAAAAAATTAACAATGATAATATTAACCCTTTGCACTCGGCTGTCCCCCCTGAAGAGACAAAGAATTTGAATTTACCCTCTAAGGAAACACAACGATATTATTGTTTTAAAGTGACTATATAGGAATGGAAAAAGAAATATGTATTTACTATCTATTTCGTTAAAAAGTCTTAATGGTAAGTGGGCTTGTTAGATTAACGAACAAAGAATATGCAAATACGATAACGCGAAACTCCGATTCGGGTAAAAATGGACCCCGACTCCGGTATACGAGGTCCAACCAGACTAAAAAGGTATCGTAGGGATGGGAGTAAGAGGATAAATCTCTGTGGAGCCTGTTGGGGGATATTTCATTCGCATAACGCGGCGTTAACAACTCATCGAGCAGTATTACGCACCTCGGTTCGAGATTACCGGTACCAATAACCCATCCAGGCCGATCTGCGTCCACTTCGGCGGAGAATCGATCGCAGAAAACGCGCGTACGACGGGTAAGCCCGTTCATTGTCGAGCACAGGGTGGTATGGGCGAGGTGTGCATCGGGGGCCCGCTTAACCGCGGCCCAACAATGAAACCACGAGAAAAATGATCCTTGTCGAGGAGACGCGGAGGCAGGCCCAATGGGTTTCTTCGCGCGGCGCTTAACGACGATTTCGATCGTTTACGACTTTAATAATTTAGGCGCGGCCCGGCTCGCGAAGCTCGACACGTTTTCGGTCGTAAACCGCGCGACTAAATCCGTATTTATGAGGAAGAAGAGGTAGTCCGGCAACCGGGGACTTGTCTCCTTCATCCTTCGAGTCTTTCCTTCTCGCTCGCCCTACGCCCTCGGCCTTTGTCCCATTCCCTGCGTACGTTTCTCTGTTTCTCCGGCGGGCTCTCGACTCGCCACGAGGAATCGATCCGATCGAACGGAAGACAATGTTTGAAAACGACTATTTTTTAAACGTATGTTTGCCTGAGGGGTTCATCGTACCAAAGTTTGGTGAAAAATTATTTTCACAGGTAAATACTGAATAAAATGCTTACGGGGGATGCTGTTGGGGTTGTTGCAAAGGGAGAACGCAATGAAATAAGCATAGATGTATAGAAAGATTTGAGCAGAAGCGTTACAAATGAAATGGGAAATTCGAGGCAAGGATTTTGTAAACAAGGTAGCAGAGATATTTAGTCAGGACGTTAAAACAGAGGATGATCGAGAGAATACGATCGAGAAAGTATAGAAATGTGTTGCAATAACAATTTTACTTTTTAAGAGGCTACCTGTCTGTAGCAATCAATTCCTATTACTGAGTGAACGCATCCTCGACAGGGGTAGTAGCTGTTTCACCCCTATAGCAACTGTATTATGATTTCTCCGTTTTGCTATACCTTTCTGAATCATTCACCGAATAATTGCTTCGGAAATCAGCCGCAGTACGAGGAAGACGAGAAAGAAATGCGATAATTAGATGAATTGCACTAGTTGCGGCATATGAAACTTCAGGTGTGTTTATCAGAATTTTCCCATCACGCGTCATAAAGTAACTATTGTTTTCTCATTATTCAGGATATACAGCTGCATACTACTTACTAACCTTTCTTTCACAATCAATACCAAAAATAGCAATTTTTTAACATTGTTAAAAATACACAAAATCAAAATTTCAGGCAAATATGTCGTCCTCGACGACGACAACCAAAATGAGATCCTACGTGGCCTTGTACCTTATACACAGTATGGTAATAACATTTATTGCCGATCGTAATTTCGAAAAATCACGAAACGAGCAAACAATACACGTAAACATAATTGCGTCGATAAACTAAATATTACAGGCATATCGGAAAGTGTATAAAAGATCGTATACTTTACAACGCGAATACGATAGTTCTCGGTTATTAATTTAACTGGCAGAAAAAAGCTGCAATAAAAATCCAGGCCGCGATCCCTGCGATCACAGTTCTTCGATCCGTCGGATGTTTATGAAAATTACGGTTGTAAATCCGTTAATTAAAATATACGGTACTGACTATACATATACATACGTATACTTTAACGAGTATTTTCCACGCGATGCTAACGCGACAGAAAATATGCATGCAGTTCATTGCAAATTCTACTCTTCCTCTATAAACAAACGTTAAATTCTCTGCTACAAAAATTCTGAATCTAGAATTCATTCGAAAATAAATTAATAATATTTCCGTCAGTAAACACAGGCACACTGCAATTTCTAACCATACTTAAAACACACTGAATTTTTTGGAAATCAAGGGAAATCAAAATTCAAAAGGGTTGCGTTACTTGCAAATTTCTGTCGAATCGTATCGAACATGAAGCCGTTCGAGCTTTCGATCAGTTATCAGCAGAAATCAGCTCGTAATTTCAATCAACGGGGCAAGAACAAACGCGAGGCCTTAGGAACACTCGCAACACGAGACACGCAACCATGATTATTTTCCTAAGAACCTAACGTTAACTTCCAACGATTCTAACGGCATTGGCTCGTTAGTTAAATAGAAGTTCGGACTGGGCATAGGTTGGAATAATATACGCGTATAATAAGGTCCCCCTGGACTCGACGCGAGACATTTTATACGCTCTTTATATTCGCTGTTCACGACTTACCGAGGACGCAGACAGCAGAACTCATCTACGCTCCTTCCGCTCCCTTATGTCCTGAAACAGAAACGCACGACAGTGAGCACACTATGAAACATAACGAAGCCAGCCACGGCTAAAGCTAATGCTCGTATCGCGCAGGTGTGAATTCACCAAGTGGATTATGACGCTCCGTGGCTCAAAGACGTCGCCAATCATCCTCGAGATTCCAGCGCGATAAAAGCACGCGATAGAAAAATTACACGCGGAAATCCTCGGGTCGACCGAACGGTAATTTACGGGCGATTTATTGTACTCGCGCTTGAAAAGCGTTCAAACTTTTCGTCGACCTCGATATTTGCACAACTATTACTGAATATTATTACAAACCGAGAAATAACTGACACGCGGATATAATTTATTCGAGTCATGAATAAAGAAACAATTATCAATTAAGACGACAATGGGCGAGTCTCCCACGTCGTCCGAACAATGCGCGTCACGAAACAATGACCAACGACGAAAAGGCCCGTTCGTGATCCATCAAATATTTACCGAGACAGGTTGCGCTCGTCGTTCGAAAAAATGAAAACCGTCAACAATACGAGGGAAGACGGACGCTCCGATCAGCATAATTTCGTGCGGTCGAAAATACACAAAGACAAAGGACACGACGACGACGTGGAAAAGGAGGAGGGGGAAAAGGTGAACGACGAGGAGGACTGCCGCGAAGGTGCAATTAAAGCGACATTAATTAATTGTTAGCGCAACAATGCATCCGTGTTGGGGGCACGGAGGTTGCTGGGGGGGAGACGGGGGGACAGCCGGACCCCGGAGCCTTCATAAATTTACATGTCTTTCGCCGCGAGAATCATTTTTTACAGCCGTTAGGAGAGTGTCGGCGGTTGGTGTGCGTGCGGAGAGAAGCTGTGGACCTACAGCAAAGCATGGGCTATATTACGGGTCCCCATGGTGTTGCTCATAATAACCATCGATGTCTCTCCGTGGGCATGGAGGCAGCCTCGTGGCTTCGATCTTGTTATCCGTTTCGGGCCGCGATCGAAATACTTTCCGTTCGATCGATAATCGTCGCCGTTCTACGTCCACCGGGCTCCTCGTCGCGATTAACTATTATTAACAACGTTAATAAGCCACACGTTTCACGTTTCACGCGCATTGTTTTCGAAGGGCTTAGATTATTTTTCGCCTTTCGAACGGTTACTTTTCGACGCTTGCCCGTACCAAAACCGGTTCTCCGTTTTTCTCCTTTTTATCGAATAATTGGTACACGTGTTTAAAAATGTTCGGTAATTTAACCCCTTCGCCAGTTTCGGACGGTTCGCGCTGTTGCGTTAACGTTTCCGAAATTATGTTTATTATGGTTTATGGATCCGGTACGTTATGGTACGATATGGTACGTTAAATAAATATTCGTAGTTTCGAACGGTAAAGTTGGAATCTGGTCCGTTCTTTTTCGGAACCCATTGTGGTCAGCTCGTTAGACGAAACAGAGACGACACTCTATTTTTCGCATAATAAATGCGATTCACGCGCCAGGTTCTTGGTTAACAAGGGGGGGGAAACGTTTATTTTCGTCAATAACGGGCGTCGTTCGAAATTCGAAAAATTTTGCACAATGTTCTCACCGGATCCCGGCAAGCCGTACTAAAAGAGATACGCGATCGTAACGTGAGACCGAGACGTGGGTGGTTCGTTGCACGACAGCCTATAGGTAGTTATTTTTAATGTTGCCTCCGAGCGCGGTGAGAGAGAATGAAAAAAATAAGGAACGAGTTTATAATCAATACAGGTGCTACCGAAATTAATACGACGGTCTTCGATCGCGCGCGATAAAAGCCCAACGAATCGAAGAGAAATTATTTCGTTGGCCGGAAGAGGCAACGGTTACGTATCCGTTGCAATATCGGACAAATCGTTATCCATTGCACATCATATTTCCACGTTTATGTTTTTTTATTAACAAAATTTGCTTCTCGAAATGATTAGATACTGCCTCGGAGAACGATCCGCGAGATAAAGGTACCGTTATTCGGTACGCCAGATGCGATCGAACAATAGATCGAATTTTAACGCTGTTTCAGACGTTGAATATCTTAGAAATTGTTATAAGATACATGTACCTTAGTATTTCCGATTAAAAAATTTAGTATTCCGTAGAATTAATTCTATTTAAAAGGTGACGTTGACGTTCGAGGCTCGTTCGACGCTTCATGAATAATTAATTAACATTGTGTTAAGAATTGTGTAAATGCTTACGTCATTGTTATTTGTGGCGTAATATTAGAATTATAAAATCTGTCAATTATCACACGATCACCGTTGAATGTTTATTTTAATTAATACATTCAGTCAGAGAGCTGTACGATTTGCTTTTATTTAAAGAAAGAATATAATTTCTCTATTACTATAGCTCTGTCATTTGGACTTTGATCTTGGCAGGGTTTCTCGTATGTTTAAAATATCAAAAAATTCGGTTCTTCAATGTTAAGTACGTCATACTCGATATTGGATGCAGAAATCTGTTCGCAGAAACTATTTTTTTTAGCGTGTTACTCATTTTGCTATAAATATTACTTTTATTTTCAGAAGACAGTCGTTCAAGACTATAAAAGAAAGGATCAAAGCGAACGATTTATCGAATCCCGAGTTATGCGTAAAAATAACAAAATTATATCAACATAGTTCACATAGAAATATATTTTCATGACACGAATTAATTCGTAGTAATATCGTTTCTAAAAATAGAATGTTTGAACTTTGCAAAAATATGTGTCCGAGTGTTAAAAATAGTAAAATCATTCTACATAAATTAACCGAGTCGTGTGAAAAGCGAAATCGTTGCAACGTAAATTACGAAAAATAGTATTGAAATAATATTGTTCTATTGTTTCACTACCGATGAAATGCGTTTTGCAATCTCCCTACATAACCATTCTCCTTTCTATTACTACTCGGATCTTGGTATCTACTTGCGATGGTATTCTTTTTCAAATGAGCGGCAAGTCGAACGTTGCAAAGAGTAATTGTACATTTCCCACGTAAACAATTTCATCGGTTAGAAATATTACCTCATGCTTAAGAATTAATCTCTTCGCGATGCGAAGAAATGCTTCTATAATTCGTGCAAAATACAAAATTTTATAATGCTCGTTATTAAAGAAAATTAATCCAAATAATTTCTAGCTGTACGAGCACGGTTTGAAGTCATCGACCAGTTATATGTTTAGTCCTTTACAGTGCACAATGTTCAATTATCGTACGTTACGATAATAAGTGAAAAAATACTTTATTAGCATGAAATTATAATCAACCGTACACCGAATAACACGTACAGTTTTCTACTTTACAGTCTATTGAGAGTCATGTCACGAACACAGTTTATGGGAATTCCAAATATATTGGTGATAAAAATAAGTGGGGAATGCAGTACTCCGCTATAGTGTTCTAGGGTTAATAAACACATTAACCCCGTACAAACCCAGCGTAACTTCAAAGTCCCATAACCATTATCTACATTTTTTAAGCCTGATTTATCCCATTATCAATTGCGGTTTTACCAGTGCTGCGGTCTTCGGGATATTTTTGTCCTAACTCACGAGGACCTTAAACGCACCGTCGAATCGAAGAACGCGCCAAGGTTGCAGCAACGGTATACAACAATTATTTTCGGATAATTTCTATATATCGACGATCGTATCGTGTAATTCGTTTTCAGAAGCGAAAAAATAATTTCAACCAGTATTGCGATAATTAATTACGATCGTAGATGGTTTCACGGTGGGATAGATTTCGTCGCGACGATCTAAGAGAGCGTCGAGGGATCGCCGTGTGTGCAACCCTCCGGAATCAGTCTCGAAAATCCATAAAACTTCGCGTCACGCCGGTCACTCGTGCTCGAGGAGGAAAAAAGACCGTGGAGTCCTCCTTTCAAAACAATGTCCTCGGTCAGGCTGGTTAAAGTAAGGTAATGCCGTGTCCAATAAAAAGCCGCACGAGCGACATGTTAGTAGCAACGCTTTTATTACCGCCTTTACGATGCTTTTCGGGTCCTCCGGCTGCTCGTCGTTGATCCAGGAATCACCGATCCCCGTTTCGAAAAGCTACGTTCCGGAATTTCGACGGGTCCCCGGCTCACCTACTATCGGGCATATTTTATTTACGATGTCCTGCATTATCATCGGTCCGACGCGCGCCATTGTGGGCTACGTGTGCGTTATTGCAGGGAGAGAGAAACACATAGAGAGAAATTTATGCGTGGGCGAAACGAGCAACCGAACCGCACAAACTGGACGTATCTCGCCTCGCCTCGAATTAATAAACAGCAACAAATGACCGCCTACGTCCGCCCCTTTCTCCGTCACCGATTTCATCGTTCTGGTAGTCGATCCGTAAAAGATCCCTTTCTCTTTCTCTCTCTCTTATTCCCTCTTTCCACACGGTATATCATCTCCGTCTCTCTCGATCCGCATCGCGCACGCATTACTCGAGCCTCCCTCTTTTTCCCGTCATCCTCGTTCCTTCCTCTTCGTTCTTACTCGATCCTGGACCGCCCGCGGTGACCCTCCCGGAGGCTCATGGCTCCTCCGTGGATCATTTGCACGACGATCGTTACCGATCTCCGGACACCGTACTCCTCAATTTTCGAGACAAACTTTTTACAAATTTCCTTCCAACCGTTCTACGACGCTCTCGGATGTTCGCGATTTTTCGGAGAAATCGGCGTGCTCGACGCTCGCTAACGATCGAGATAATGGAATTCGCGCACAGTAATGGCGATTTGAAACGTTCAAGCTATCGATATACACGATTTTACGACCGGACCGGTAATAGTTTAGCGGTTGTTTAACACTAAAGTTTTAAGGAGATACAGCGGGACGCAAGTCGCCGAAGGTTTATTATTTCTGAATATTCTATTATTAGTATAGGCTGCGAGATCTGCGGGTTTTAATCGCAAACCTACTTGAAACAATATAACGCGAACGCGACATGGTCCACTGGTCGGTAGCAGCTGGGCGCATAGATCAGTTACGTGAAAGGAGCCGCTCCGCAATTTTTAA